TTTTTATAGGTCTCGGAGTAGCCGATGCTGGGGCCCAATTTATTATGCGTGATTGTGTGGCTAGCAAACGGTTTTTACGAGTTTTATCCGATACGCATCGGTGAGCTAATATTGTACTATATGACAATGCAGCCAGACAATCCGAAAAGAAGGTCTCCTGGTAACCAACAATTCTTCCGCATCGTTATCTTTTTTTATTCAGGAAGTTACGTAACTGGGCGGAAGAAATTTCCGAGGGGGTCCCTAAGGGTGAACGCATTTTTCCAGGGAGGCGACTGAACTGTGGTTTATAGGTATGGGGGCGCTGTGACGGAGCAAGACGACGTTTAATTCGCAGGAGAATTTTAGCTCTTTTATCGTTTATTCGTCGCGTTTCTATTGGCCATCTTGGTCTTTTAACCCATTTTTATCCCTTTAGATTTTTTTGTGATACCGTGTATTAGTGAATTGCTCGTCAATTTTGCGAATTTGCGATGATTTTTTAGACATTTTCTGTCTACTGTGAAATTGAAGCTGTTACACGTCAGCCATCTTTAATTTTCACGACTTGCTCACATTGGTGATGGGGTTTACAAGACTGTACAAGTACAACTGTAGACGGAGGCCGTGTCCGAAACGGGCTTCCAGAGCTACAACCAGGTCTATTGTCTACGCGTCTCCACACATTTCCAATGGAGCGAAGACCCAGACCTAGCTCTAGACAACATATTCGGATGAAGCCTTAAGGTTTGCTGAATGCAATGATGATGTCATCCTTGGTACAGCGGGCAACTCCAGATATTTTGCCTCTACGTTTCTGCCTCGTAAGTAATTCATCAAAACTCTTAAAAACTCAAAGAGACTGTCATGTATTCATACCCAGGTCCTCCCATGAACTCCTCATGTGGTGATACTCCAGCATCGTGTGGAGTTTGTGGTGATGAAATAGGTAACTCCCCTGTTAAAGGTATCCAATGCGAAGAGTGTGAGAAATGGAATGATGCAGCTGGTATCAACATGAGTAGCAAAACATGTCATCTTCTTGCTAATATCAACACCTCTTGGATTTGTGATGGATGTGGACATCCTAATTTCTTTGACTCGTTACACAGTATTGTAATAGAATTTGAAACTGTAAATCCTTTCAGCCCATTAGAATCTGATCAGCCTTTAAGTGCTGATCAACCGGCTGCTGCTTCTCCAAAACCCGGCAGAACCAAGGAATCAGGTTTTGTTCACGGTAGAGACAGGAGAAAGCAAGCTAAGAATCATGTCACAGCTAAGAAACTCGCCGTTATCAACATAAACTTTTAAAGGCTGAAAAATAAGACTACAGAGCTCCATGCCATCCTCCGTCACCCTAAACCTGATATCGTTATTTGTACGGACACTTGGTTGAATGGCAACATCCTTGATGCTAAGCTTTTCCCGCATGAGTTTCCAGTCTTCAGGAACGATAGTACTGAAGGTTATGGGGGACTGATAGGTGTTAAAAATCTCTCATGCCATCTCATTGACGACCTTAACACTGATTCTGGGTGCATCTCGGTTCACATTGAATGTGGACCAAGAAGAAAGGTGTACATGTATGTTGGTGCTTTTATAACCAATTGGCATGTTAAGCTCAACTCTGTCAAAACTCCATCGATCTACCAAAGGCAATTGTGAAGTCTGGTTGGGAGATTTCAACCTAAAGGACATCAGCTCAGTGTAAGAAGTTAATTGATATTTGCAATCTCTTCAACTTTGACCAACTAGTTGCTGAGCCCACACGCAAGGACAGTAGCCTTAATGTTTTTTACCACCAATCCCACTGTTGTTGAGTCTGTCAGTGTTTTACCGGGTGTCAGTGACCATGGTATGGTGAACATCCTCGTCAATACAGGTTGTACAACCACTAAACCAGTTCAAGAAAGGGAAGTTTGACGATCTTCGTAAAGATTTGAAAAGATTTGGTGAAGGATTTCTCAAAGAAATGAAGTTTAGATCAGTGAATGATAAATGCATTTACTTGAGAGACTTTCTGAATGCGCTTACTGACAAGTACATCCCGTCCAAGTTCCCTTTAACAAGATACGACTTACCGTGGTTTTCTCCTGCGCTCCGTCGCCAAAGCAGAAAGCCTCAAATCAGTTTTCACTAAAGAAATTACTTCTAATCAGGAAAGGAAACTTACAGGAAATTGTTCCTGGCATTGAACCACTCAAGATTGTTGCCGAGGGGATAGAGAAACTTTTGCCAGCTTCTACCCATCTTCCATACCACATTGGAATAGTCTACTGGAATCCATTGTTAACCTACCCAACTTCAACCAGTTCAGGAATGCCATGTCTGATTTTATCTTAAGGGAGGGGAATTAAAACATTATCCTCTAGCTCCGGCACGCACGCGTCCCAAACTCTGACGGGAAGCAGAATCTTTTGTTTTGCTGGAGCAACCTGATACAGATACAAGTTTTTTTATAATCGAAATGTGAAATAGGGGCGCCTGAAACAGAGCCCCCGGTATATTCCCAACACAGCATGCCCAAAGAGAAGCGCTTGCGAGGTCTGCCCGGGCTAGGCTACGGGGACTCGCAGGCCTGCTTTGTTTCCATTGACCTTGCTAGTGCCAAACCGGCTCTTAACGCCACTGCTGAATGACTGTTTGCAGTAGTTTATGCTTCCTTTATGTACTTTCCTATTTACATTGCACTGTTGCGTTACACGCGAGAAATAACACTTGCATTATATCCATGTTTTTCCAGAGAGTGTGTTGCGAATTCTTCCGTACAAGAAAACTATTTACATTGATAATCCACTTTGGTAAAGACAAATAATTCTCTTGTTGAAAGGCTTACCCTTATTTGATTAAATAATGTAATTATTAACTGTAACTACATGTTGGCGAACAGAACACTACATCGTGAATGATTCAGGTAAATACTATTTCGAGTTAGTATATTCGATTCTGCAGGTATTCAGTTTGGTGTGTATTTAACTCGGGATACCGAGACAAAATATCAAGATTACAGGGTATCGAGACCTGAAAAGACTGGGTCTGGAAACTGACAGCGCAATACAACTACTCAATACACGTGTTTTATCAGGATGTTTAAAACAGTCTACCGATCTAAATCCGCCTGTGGAGCTGCAAAGTAAAGAGCTATTGTTATGACTAATCCACCAGACCGCAGAAGTCTATGACGCCGTAATGCTATGAGCTGTCCATTGTTTACTGGAAGCTGCAGAGTGCAAGGTGTACTCGACCGCAACAGTTTGGCCAGCCTCGCTGAAGCGTTCGTCTGTTCGATGTTGACCGTCCGTGAGGCTTACCGTTTACAAAGCGTTCGACGCTTTCAAAAGCGTTTGTATTTTGACCTCACGCCTAATTGATTAGTAATTTATTCATTTATAAAGCGCAAATTTCATATAGATATGTTCAAATGCGCTGCACATGAAGACATAAAGCGTGTAACAATAAATACATTTAAACATCGTTGAGCTGATGGCATACAAGGGCGCCTCGGGCAGCCGCCAAACGACCCACATTCACCAACATCAGTAAAGGGGAAACAGTACACAAAAAAGTGGAATTATTGCGATTTTTTCTTGGAAATTGCATCACAGTTTTGCTCATGAATATGGAAATCTCATTAGCACTAAATCAACAAGGAAATAAATACACATTAAAATAAGGATCTTTAATAAGGATCCTTAAAAAGGGCATTCTTTTATCGTGCGGTTACAATTCACCGTTTCTGCCTCTTGGTGGCAGAACACACCCCGTTTCATCATTCTAAAATCTTGTAGGTATATAAGCTTGTATTACACAGCCGCACTACACCTTTGTTGCGTGAGGCTGGCGCTGGCCTGTTTGCAAATTCAGGCCTAATCCAGTTTTTGACGTTCGAGTCGTCGCTCTGAGACGGTGAAGTAAACACCCATTCCATGTTAGCTTCAAACTAGGCATGTTTTTGCTAGTAGGCGACATTCCGTCCGAGGAACAATTTTTAACGTTAGTATACGACCTGTCGGGCTGAATACTAAAAATCCACCTCGAACAGCAGCACTCCCTCGTCTGTTGAAAAGAGCCCTGTTGCCAGGGAGTAGAAATTTTGTTGGTAGCGACGCAACCGTAACGCGTACATTTCGTTGACGTGAACCAGCGATGCGCAGTTACTACCGAATGAGCCTCCGTTGCTAGGAAAACTGCGCCCTCTCTTGGTCCATCTCATCAGGGCCCATTTGATCCCTGTTTTTAACATATGACAACATTTGTCTCAATGAGTAGCGTACTGCGTTATTTCGCAATGTTAATACGCAATATTTGTGCAACACCAGTGCTTTGTTCCTGGAATGCTTTTAAGTTGCCTTTATTAGGCTGTGTACCTGAAGTGTTCAGATGCAGTTATTGCCCTTATCGAACGCTGGTCCTCTGGACGTATTTTGGGAATACATAGCTAAGTTGGTTTTAAGGTTTTGTGTTTTATTTTAATAATTTTAATCCAGCTTCTGTATTTCACTGTTTTACGAAGTAAGAAAAGGCACATCGTTAGTTAGCAGTGCAAAAAAAGAGACCAAAAACACAATCTCTACCGACTTTGTGTGTGCGTGCAGGTGTGGAATACATAGTGTGGACCTCTTCACAAAAGAAGTACACATAATGAAGAGTATGATAGCATTGTGCGGACTCGCACACGTCCACACAACGTTTTTCCCTCTCCGAAAAACAGTTTTAGAGGCATTTGGGGGTCAAGGGTATCCGTGGCAAAATGAAGAGGAACAGCCCAGGAAATCATCATCAAAAGTCCAGTTCGAAGGAGTTATCCTAGTTGGAAAAAAGGAGCATTTTCCTCAAGTTTCCTCAACCACAGGAGAACAAAGGAATGTCCACACTTTGTATGATAAACATGTATATGTGGGTGTTCACTTGAGTGCGAACGATGCTGTACATGAACACCTCCGCGTGTGTTGAGATGTAACAAAATGGAACAATTTTTTTAAGCGCGTATTTTTGTATAATGCAGTAGGGAAAGAAATAAGACCTCCTGGCTTTCCCGTTTTCACGAAGTGAAAAATAGTTTTATTAATGAATTACAGTTTATTTAATAACAATATATCTGCAACTAAGTATGGATTAGCATTTTCCAAATCTTGAATTTCATGACTTTGAAAAAAAAACTCAATCGGTTACATAGAATTGATCAAAAATGAAGTATGGATTAGCATTTTCCAAATCTTGAATTTCATGACTTTGAAAAAAAAACTCAATCGGTTACATAGAATTGATCAAAAATGTTTATTGAAGTATTTTTAAACGCGTTTATCTCAGCAAGTCCGTTCCACAAGATTTTGAATATTTTCACTTCCTGAAAACACTAACGATATTATAGTTACTCTAGACAAGAATATAAACAGCCATAGATGCAGTTGTGCGAAAAACATTTTTTGCAGATTTCCTGGGAGGCATAAAATTATAAAAAGACTAGTCTGTAACCACTGAATATATTAGTTGACACAAGCAGATCTAAGAGGTGTAACGTAACTTCTACATTCGCTACTCAGAGAATTTACCCCCAGGGATGCAGGGCTGTCTCACGGATTTTTATGCTGCAGCTTTTCAGTGACAAGCGCACTACCCTTTTCCACTTGTACCACACAATGCCTGGAAAAAGAATCTCCTCCGAGATTGAGTAGTACCTACCATTTAGGTGAGAAAAGCCACATTTACCAAACCACCATGCCCCATGGAGGACTACTGCACAGTGGCTCGAGTTGTATTCGTCATTGTCGCGGTCTTTAGTTGAAAAGGGTAATCCTCGGTTATAGCTGAGAGCATCGCCTGCAGTGCTGCCGTTGTCGTACCTTCCAATTTCTAGGCGGTACAGATCAGGGGATACTTTGAAATCTGGGTATTTTGCCCATGCCCTGTGCCCATCCCAGTCCTCCAAATCCACTCGCAGTGTCCACGACCTGTTCGCCGTCAGCTTCGCCAATATGTCATTTCCCAGCCAGAAGTTGCTTGACAGGTTGCCGAAGCCGATCCGGTACTCGTTCCAGCTGCGATAGAAGTCTTCGCTGCTGTCATGCCGCCGCTGCAATACGATCCACCCCCCGCCCTCAGTTTCCATGTCGCAGTAGACGCACAGACCGGAGGAGGTGAGGAGTCCCTCCGCATAGATGGCGAAAATGCCACTGGAGTGGTACCCGGCTTCATAGAGCTCCCCGCAACTCCTGTAGAAACTGGCTGAGCTGCCGATCGACGAAGTTAGATTGGTGTCTTCATCTTCACCGAATTCGCTGAAGTACGCAGTCCCGAGCGCTGCAGCGAAGTATTCTGGATACTCCTCTCTCGTGCCACGATTCAGTTCGCATATTTTGTGACATTTACTGAAGTTAAAAGACTTGCAACGCCGATCCAAGGCGCATTCTCGACCGCAGACGGCAGGAAAGCGCACGATGATTGTGTTGTACGCACTGCCCCGCAGCACGCTATTATGAACGGCTTGCATTACCTGTTGGCGCTGGTTTGTACAACGATCTATGGTCCCAGTGGCTAACACTGCCGTGCTCAAGAATATCAGCCTTGGGATGACGCCCAGTATGCAGATCAGACACGCCATTGTTGAATGTTCTGGTGAAGCCAGGCAAAGTAAATCGAACTTACTGGCATTGATGTTACTTAATTTTTGAAGCGTTGGCCACAAGCTATCTAAACAGAACTCAACTCACTTCACATACAAGGCCTCCGACCATATCTGCCACTTCCAGAGCGCCCGTCTAAATAGAAATCTTGTCTGCACGCGGTTAGCTTAGCTTTGAGCACGCAAGGATTGATCGAAGTTCTAGTGGATACAGTTGTTAAACTCTCGTCGGTCGGATTTGTCGAACAGACAACTGGGGGTGGTCTACCACTGAAATATCATGTTGACAGGTGAAGGTATTGTGTAAAAACATCCGATAGCCCCGCCCATGATGGCGTCATCTATGACTGATAGTAATGGACGTAATGTTCTGGAGCTCATGACTGTTGTTTTAGAGGTTGTAAACGACGACAAGCATCATTTGTAACTATAGAGCCCCATAAAGATATCGCAAGTGATCTGTATGATTGCTTTTAAGGAGAAAAAGGAGAGGAGTGTATAATAAGCATTGTGATGGCAACGGTATTATCCATGTTCCATTTATCAGAAATACCCCATTGGTAATTCCTTCATTTCTCTTTTGGCGTTAAATTACTGGTATCTTTCTATGAAGCAATGCAGTGAATATGGCTGGACAATTTGCCATTTTACAACATCCGTACACTTTATCAGCTTTTTCGCAATTTTGCTTATAAGACATTCTTTTTGTTCTGTTTCTTGGCTTTTTCCCAAGTTAAGGCATTACTTCTGTGCTTCTTCTTCTTCTTGTTTAAGAAATAAGTTTTACAGAACATTCACCATGCATTGGAGGAGATGGGCTTCATCCCCGATTATGAGGAAGAGGAAGAACAGGAAGTAGTGAACGGCCTGCAAGGAGACCCTGACTGGAGTTCCATCCAAGACGTCTCCAACCAGGATGACGAATTGGCAACCACATCATCACTGATAGCCATCGCTTCTCCCATTTCTGATCATGGCCAGAGCTCAAACCACATCACCTCACCGATTGCCATCACTTCACCCATTTCTGATCATGGCCAAAGCCCAAACCTCGGCGACAACCCACCACTTCCTACTACTTCCCCCCAAAGATAGATCTCAACAGTTTCACAAGATGTGATACGCTATCACGTGTGCGCAGGCAGATGGTGGTTTCTGTACCTCTCAGCATGCTGTTAGACCCGCAGAAGATGGGAGATTGCCATGCACGTGAGGGATCATGGCCCCTTTCAGCTGGAGGAACACCTTGGTCAGCTTAGTAACCTATGAGCTTATCTACTTCGCCACAGCACAACTCAACCTAAATTCTCCAGAATGCCGTCCAGGACCGGTATGTACGAACAACCTAGGCGACTGTACTTCGTCATTTTGTGATGAGGAAGCTCGTGTCTGGGATTTCTATGACAAATTCCAGGGCCTCGCCCCCCCAGGACAGAAACCTACAATTTCCCACACGGATTTTGTCAATCTTCCACTGGAGAACCCTTCGGCGCTTGTTATCATTGTTCCCCACTTCCGGAAACGCAGAGTCTTACCTTCCGTTGTCCACAGAGGTTTCCAAGGTTCGCAACATTTCAGGTTCTCCCAAGGTTTCCGGGCTTCCTGCACCCAAGATGGATCCTCCCCACTTATGCCAGATACCCCACATCCCCCGTTGAGTGTAGAAATCTTTCAAGACTCGGAGATTCCTGAGGCCCCTAAAGTTCCAGCACCCCCGAGGTCGGATACGTCTCACTGACACCAGATTCACCGTTAGACTACATAGATGCCCACTGCCATGTCGATCGCCTCCCTCACGCAGCCCAGTACACGGGTAACCTCGCCGAATTCCTAGAAAATGAGGAGATCAGCACAGTCAACTTCCGGGGCTGCATTGCAAACTTCTGCGATGTGGATACATAACGGATCAGGAGGATTTGGTTGGGGACAAGTTCATTTTCCCTACTGTCGGTTTCCATCCAAGCATGCTCGTGACTTCACCCCAGACACTGATCGAGTGATCCAACGTTTATTGGGCCACCCGGAAACATGTGCCCTGGGAGAAGTGGGTCTAGACTACTGCAGAGGGGATGACAGGTATAAAACCGTCCAACAGTCTATCCTTTGACGTCGTCTAAAAATGGCAGTGGAATTTCAAAAGCCAGTGGTCCTCCACTATGTGACTGAAGATGACAGCCAAAATGTCGAAGATGACTGCATCCAAATAGTGTCGGAAATTCTCCCATAATCCACTTACACTGCTGTACTAACAGCTGGAAGAACGGACGCCTTCTTCTGGAGACCGATGCCCCGTACTTCAAGCCACGATGGTCTCCCGGCTCAGTCAAGTTCAGCAACCCTACGAATGCGAAGCTGGTCTCCCATAAAATTGCTCGCATCAGGAGGATCTGGGAGGAAGATGTCCTGAGGGTGTGCCTGAAAACACAACGAGAATATACTCCGGCAGCACATAATTACATAGGGTTGATCAACAAGCACGAGAATTACAAATCAAACTGCAGCTAAACAGTAGTTAAACGCAGTTAAACTCGCGAATTTTCTCATCGTCAGCCTGAAAAACGTCATTTACCGGTCTTACCGCACTACCAAATTTCCTGATCCCCTCCTAATCTGGTCTAACCCCAACCCTTTTTTGTACACGTTTCTTCCACCACCGACTTTAATCCCTATGCAACTTCAGATCTTCAAACTTAAGGTCCCATGTGTATAGATATGTCTAGAACAATGACGTCATGATGACGTCAACAAGTGATTTATTATGAAATTTCGAATATTTAAATATCATGTCTATTTTGCTAAACTCCATATCAAATCAACTATGGCCTCCCGCAGCACTCTGTTCGTGGCAAGTGCCAAGAGTAAAATTGGGTCTTCTTTTCATCTCGTGTGGGTCAAATCACATGACCCTTCTTTCCGGTCAAAACTGGAAATGGGCTTATTATTAAGAAGTGGTAATAGGTATCAAGTTGTTTTCAACGGTGTTATTCTGTTGGGGTATAGTATTCTTCAAATCATCTACTGATGACGTCACGTAATTGGCGAGCGCCCTCTAGTGACAGGTTGAAAATTGTGAAAAAAAAGAATTTTGAATAGATATCTGTGGCGAAGGTTATAGGTATCAGCTTAAAATTGATGTAGAGGATGATCTTTACCAAGTTAATATATGTGTGAAATTTGGGAACGATGACTGCATCATACCGGAAGTTATAATGAAAAATCCTTTTATTCTTCAAGATTCGGTACAGAATCAACCGTAACAGATAAAGGTATGAATTGTCCATTAGATGATAGCTAAAACTTTGGATTCAGCTCCATCAAGTGCCTAACAGGTGTACTTGTTCACACAGATGAAGTGCCGACGACAAAACCCCCCTTACAATATTTGCGGGACTAGAAAATTCCATTCGTGTACTGTGCATTGGCTATTGTGTGCGTGAACGGCAATATCTGACTTTAACATTAGGCAGCGCACAGTGCGTAAAGCATGTTCTCAGGACTTGGCAACTTTCCAAGCACGTGGCGCTGAGAGCAGATTGCATTGTATGGAACGCCAAAAGGAAAAAAATATTGTTTGCAATCTCTAATCTGCGCTCTTTCCGCGATAACAATAATTTTTGTATTGTATTTGTATTGTATATATCTGATTGGGTTGAAATCTTGCAGATAGTTAGGAAGGGATGATTTATAAACGAAGATTGACCTCGTGATAACGAAATCGTCAGCCGCCGGTCACGTGACATTAATTTGGCCCCGAATGGACATGATGAAATAATTACGTCCTCAGGTGTGTGCAGTTTATTCGCTGTTCAAATTAAGGAATGCGAAAAGGCCCTCTGTTCTGTTGGCACACAGACAGATGACCTCTAGTTGTATGTCCTTCGCTTTGATATGGCTCACAATGCACTCAGAGAGTGCTCCATCACAGCCTTTTTTTCGTTTAAGTGACTGGTATCGTTTAGAAAATAGGGTTCGGAACGTTAACAGCGGTTTAAATGTGTAACGAGGCGTTGCTCGCGCAATGCCAGACGCATTTTACTGTTGAGCAACTGAAAGGCAATTATCTTCAGCAGCCTTTTAAATATTTCCGGATGTTTTATTCAGTAAAAAGTAGTCAGGAGTCTTTTACGTCTCCACAGTTTCTTCGTGGGAGGAGACTTACACTACCTGGCACTTGCACTGGCAACCATGCGTACATCTTTCTAGACAGCTAGTTATAGCCGTCGTACTGAAGCATTTTTTGAATGATGGGAGTTCTGTTAAAAACGGAGCTGGTTTGGTAGGGGTATACCCAATCACTGCGTTATGTCCTTTGGCTGAATTCTTGCCAGTGTCTGTCTCTTTGTCAGTGCTCAGAGAAAGGACATAGTAACACAGGCAGTCCATTCCACTTATGCTGTTTCTTCTTAGACTTTATTGCACAATTTCAACTTAAAACCACTTCATTTCAAACTTATTTTTATTCCTTTGATACGTTTGACGGAGGAAGCTTTAGTTCAAACTACTGTATGCTACAACCCAGAAATTGAATTCAAAATATTTGGGGTAGATAAGTAAACTAGTGATATTATTCACCGCAGACTCCATTAGCTCTATACAAGAACACTCATGATTATCTGGTGTTTTGTATCACAGCGAAAAGACATTCACTTATGGCATCCAATAAGTTGCACAAGGTGTTGATTTTTTGGAATAACCCACAATTATTAGAATAATTAGAATAACATCCTTATGTGCATTGCCAAGAACGCACTTTTTTGTCTTTCGATAACTCTTCAGGTTTATCAGTCAAAATACTGAAGATATATTCTATTACGTCTAGCTCTTTTACGTTAACAATGGTTTGGGATCTTTTATTATCAAAATTTAATCACTAATTTAGCTAGATTCAAATTCTTCATTTACTCTTTGCTGCGTTCTTTTATTCCTGATATGCTTCATTTGTAATAATTTGGAAACTACTTCTGGTATGCCAATATAATACCAACAGCATGCTTTTTGATGGAATGTCCCAGTGGGACAGAAATTCAGACAATAACTTCCAAACTCTCATGTATCAACACCCCAAGGATCTGAATTCTACAGCTTTGTAAGGTCCAAAAGCTGAACCTGTCACTGAGCTTTTCTCTTTCGATTGTACAGACGGGTACACCGCATCAACGGAAGAAAATCCCTGGCAACCAGCACTATACATATTTTAAATGGTTTCTACTTAGTGGTGTGGCAAATTACTTATGAACGTACATATCGGTACAAGCATTATAGTTGGAGGTCTCGTCTGTTCAAATGCAACCAGAAACAAAAAGAATGGCATAAAGTGCAACTGGTTGTCCTTCAAAAAAAAGAAAAGAAAAAAAAAGGAGACACACAGAGCGTTTTCGAAACGGACAGATTCGGTATAGACTTCGATTTTGTTGGTTGAAACAGTAAGGGTTTCTTCACAGTTCGTAACAAAACTCCATGTTGGAATGAATTGAAACCTTAATAACACGCATACGAAGCTTTAAATAATTATCAGGCATGGGACAACCGAGTTCTTAAAATCTTTTTAATAGGGTTAAAGTTGCATCTCCGTGGAGGAGCGCTTCACCGTGTAATCAGGAAAGAATAAAAAAAAAACACACCACATGGAGGTTTGATTTGACTTCGACACAGCCAGAACATGTTGATTTACTTGCTGGACAGTACAAACCTGGGCTTAACTACGCCTTGAACAGACGTAGACCTCACAAATCATTAATTTCTCAAAGTAAAACAGGAAACTGTCTTAATAAATGGCTTTCTAAACGGACAACTGTAATAATTAATGGCGTTTTGGAGCAAACGATTTACCTTTTTAACAGGGTTAAAGTTACACCCTCTGCCAAATTTGGAATTTGAAGTAATACTTATATGGAGTATTCGGTGGTCCAGTAATCTGACGGCTCTTCTGTTCAAAGGAGAATACAAGCAAAGTCAGTGACACCATAAAATTTTAATTTCATGTAATATTTATCAAATTTGAGTGTGAACTAATAATAAACTTTATTTTTTGACGACTGTAAGCATTGAATATGATTTTTGGGAGAGGGGGGTGTATCTGAAACGGCCATTATTGTCTACGGCTGTGGATGTTGATCTAATGTCCTTATATCAAGGCGTATAGCCACAAAATACATGGGAAAAAAGGCCTTAGTCGCCCCAAGCAAACTTTTTTTTAGCTTTGCAAGGAAGCAAAATGATAATCGATGGTGTGTAATAATAGTAGTCTTACCTGTCACGTAATGGTCCTCTTGTGTTGGAAGGTGAGGCATGAACAAAAATATTAAGGTCTCGTGAGTAACGTTCAAAACGCCCAAATGTATCAAAGTATTCTATGGATTGATCATGCTGAAATGCAGAAATATATACTTCAAACCTACACCAACCCGGAATTTATAGCAAAATAATTAATAACCTTGCACAATATTCCAGTTAAAACTAACAGGGAACGTTCAATAAGGTACGCTTAATGGAGAAGAGGAAGAACGTAAATGGCCATCTCATGGGTCGTGTTCGAGTAATCCAAACGTTTTGTTGAACCGAAAGGCTTAAACCCAATTCACATTTTAAAAAAATGCTGGCTAAATCAAACCAATAACCGGATGATAGGGGATTTATTATGCAGTACGGTAGCTTCTGCAGTTCGAGGTATGTTGTTTTATTCAAATGACAGAATCCATGTACATGTATACAAGCTCAGGGGTGTAGGTGTGCTCTGCCATTGAAAACACATACACTGATGTGTTCTATTCTCAAACATGATACCTAAAACGTTGGAAGGTATCAACTGCAACCGAGCGTTTCTGCGTTATTTTACAAACTGTGTACACCTTGAATGAACCCAGAGCTTTCTTAATTAAAAACTGTAACATCTGTGAAAATTTCCGCCCTACCTGACGAACAAATTGAAATGTGCAAAGTTTATATGTCACAATGAGACATTTTCAAACTTCCAAATGCTTTCAAACTGCGCAAATTCCAATTATTTTGCTTCCATTTCAACAACCCTGGCCCCGAATGGTCATGATGAAATAATTATGTCCTCACGTGTGTGCAGTAGATTCGGTGTTCAAATTAAGGAATGCGAAAAGGCCCTCTGTTGTGTTGGCGCACAGACAGATGGCCTCTAGTTGTATGTCCTTCGCTTTGATATGGCTCGCAATGCGCTCAGAGAGTGCTACACCACAGCCGGTTTCTTTTTCAGGTGTTTTTTTTTTTCGTTTAAGTGACTATCATCGTTAACGTTAACAGCAGTTTGAAATGTGTAATGAGGCGTTGCAATGCCAGACGCATTTTACTGTTGAGCAACAAAAAGGCAATTATTTTCAACTGCCTTTTAAATATTTCAGGATGTTTTATTCAGTAAACAGTAGTCAGGAGTCTTTTACATCTCCACAGTTTCTTCGTGGGAGGAGACTTACACTACCCGGCACTTACACAGGCAACCATGCGTACATCTTTCTAGACAGCTAGTTACAGCCGCCGTACTGAAGCATTTTTTCGAATGATGGCAGTTCTGTTAAAAATCGAGCTGGTTTGGTAGGGGTAAACGCGCTCACTGCGTTATGCCCTTTAGCTGAATTCTTGCCAGTGTCCGTCTCTTTGTCAGTGCTCAGAGAAAGGACATAGTAACACAGGCAGTCCATTCCACTTGTGCTGTTTGTTCATGGACTTTATTGCACAATTTCAACTTATAACCACTTCATTTCAAACTTATTTTTATTCCTTTGATACGTTTGACGGAGGAGGCTTTAGTTCAATCTACTGTATGCTACATGTATGCAAGCTCAGGGGTGTAGGCATGCATTGCCATTGAGAACACATACGCTGATGTGTTCTATTCTCAAACAAGATACCTAAAACGTTGGAAGGTATCAAATGCAACCTAGCATTTCTGCGTTATTTTACAAACTGTGTACACGAGGAATGAACCCAGAACTTTCTTAATTAATTAGAAAACTGTAACATCTGTGAAAATTGTCACCCTACCTGACGAACAACTTGAAATGTGCACAGTTTTGATATCATAATGAGACATTTTCAAACTTCCAAATGCTTCAAACTGCGATAATTCCAATTATTTGGTTTCCATTTCAATAACCAGTTTGTGTAGCTGGGGAGGCACTGTTCCATGAATTTAAGAATAATCATATACAATCAAGTAACCGTTACAACAGAGAAGGGACATTTCATTTGTTGAACAAAGAACGTTTTCTAAAATGTGAGAAGTGATATTCCGCGAATGAAGTGGGTTTTGATTTCACGACTGCTGTTGGATACGGTATCATATATTCTCGCAAACATAAATATTGCAAAATAAGTTGAAAGTTGATACAATTTCAGATTTACATTTTTAAATGGATTTTGCACAATTTGTATGGTAGTTTGCATTTGCATGGTTTTATTGTTGGACATAATATATGCATGGCAATAACAAAAGCGCTTTGACAAGCAAGTGTGTATTTGCCTGCAATTGGGGACCCCCTATTGTTCCTCTTTTGTTAGTACTTCAACTTTTTTAGAAGACCACCTATATGTTTTGTACACAGTTGTCTATCGGGGACCCTCTGTCAATCGGCGACCTTATTGTCCTCTATTGTTCAAGGTCCCCAATTGAATGCAAAAACAAACTCGTAATGACAGGTACAGTTACAGTTGAAAGCGTACAAAAATGTTCTAACCCGTGGTTGAAGATATAAGATGGGAGCTATACTCACCACAGTGCGCCTCGTCGGAACCGTCCACGCAATTGGGGTAGCAGTCACATACCAAATACGAGGCAATGCACTCCCCATTGTTGCAGCGAAATTGATCATCCCTGCATTCGTTCTCGTCTGTGGAATATCACACACCCATGAATTTCACGTTTTCAAATAAAACAACACAAACCCACGGAGAAGTAGCAGGGTGCTCGAACCAGCTTTATCATTTTCAGAGAGGGGATTAGAAAAACAACTGTTCGCCATGGTTTCACTGCTCCATAATAAGATACTTAGTGTGATTTTCTTTTAATTATTTAGTTGGCTATCGTCCTGATCACAAGAACGGATGGCACTGGGGTTTGTTCCAGCATTTGTCATGAAATAAAAATCGCTCAAGCTACTTACACACGTACGAATCGGTACAAGCATGATAGTCGGAGCTGTCGTCTGTTCAAATGAGACCAGAAACAAAAAGAATAGCATGAAGTGAAACTGGTTGTCCCTTCAAAGGGGAGAGATACAAAGAGCGTTTTCGAAACGAGTAGATTCGATATAGACTTCGAATCCGCTGGTCCCAGTCAGAACTTAAAACATGTAGTTTCGAACGCTGCTTCAAAATGGCCGGAACTAGCGAAACCAATGTCCGAATCCACTCGTTTTGAAAACGCTTAAAGAATTCAATTTAGTGGCAAATTTGTGTTTCAACGACGGAGTAAAATTGTTTCGAAAGTGAAAAAACGAAAGGAAACCAAAATCAAGGAATCCTTTCATTTTCTTCTTTTTTTGGTATTTTTTCACCGATTGTATATCTTAGATTCTTTGATATTGCAGTTGTCCGCAAGATCTATTTGGAAAATTTTGTGTTTTTCATTAATATGCCTTTGTTCTCACAGTAGCCTAAGCTGGACAGAAGTGAAGAAAGCCTTTTTAGCAAACGGACGATTGATTTGTGTTTTTTATTGCCTGCCATTCCACACATTTTTTTCTGCGTTCTACAGCGTAGCGCATGGACGCCACATTTGATTGTGGTCAGACTTTGTCTCAAACGGCCATTTGCGTCTACAGATGAGACCGTTGAACGTGCACGGCGTGCTAATGGCAAAACCGGAAGCTGTAGCCACGAAATCTTCTATTCGGACATTGCCTAAGTCGCCCAGCACAAACGTCTTAAAGCCTGGCAATAGTATACAACAGCCAACATAGGATTAATACGATGCGTACATAAGAAAGCCCTTACCCGTCACGTAATCGGTTGTGTACATGTCGGCTGTGGGAAGGTTAAACACACACACATGAGAAATACAAAAATGGTCATTGAGAGTAGTCAATTTCGAAATGCCCGTCACTTCAATGTTACATAGAGCACGGATGGGGTGGATGAGTTCCCAGAGGGCTGAGTCAATCTCTCCATGCCCTGCTTTTGGACAGGCTGAAAAACCGGTTCTTTTATGGTTAATTAATGGTCCCTTTGAATATGATATGCTGTTTTACGGTATGCAAGTTATAATCATCTGAAACAAGAATTTTCAATCGGTATTCATATAATATACTTACAGCTGAAGTACTCAGTGGTCCAGTAATCGGATGGCTCGTCTTTTATCAAAAACATGAAACAAACAACGATAACAATTTCAAGGAGAACTTAAATTTTCAAATCATTGCGATAGAATTAGCAACCATAGCAAATGATTTCTAGTTGTTTTGGGTATCTTTGTTTGTAGAAGACTTTGCAACTATTCATGAGATTAATTTTTTACATTACAATGTTTTGTTCTTACAGTTCTGCGGCCTCAAATGCTGTAAATTACGAGACTAACTTGAAATGTGTTGTCTGTCGTTCGCCAATTTTTGACACGCAATATCTTAACATGGAAAAAGGAGGGATTTCTATGGGATGCGAGGGTACAAAAGGTAACAACCTTCTAGGCGAATAGCAAAATAGTTCATCTGATCCTACTACCAATTGCTTTTAAAAAATAAGGATTTTTAAGCAAAATGCCACGTTCAAATCTTTCCGGTAATACATTATAATAGAAACAAGAATTAGGCAACAGCTTCACCGTAATTATGCGGGGTCCTGGGCCAAAAAATCAGAAAACGGGAGTTCAACCGAGCTGCCTTGAGTAATATAGTAGATAAGGAAAAAGATAAGTACAGTGGATGTCTGTGGTTTGAATCTTAGAGCGTACTTTTTTCATCTTCAGTCTGTTTCCTATTCGGGAAGATCTATTTTGAAAGGTAAATTTACCACGCAAATTTGTGGTATTTATTTCTGCTCTTATTGAAGAGGAAATGGCACTCATTTCAACGTGTGATCGACTTCAGCCTCAACTATCGGCTTAGCACCCATTTCACTTTATGTGTTAATACCGAGGAAACTGATGAAATTTGAGCCTCACAAGTTAGCTTAGAACCCATACCACTTTATGCGTTAACGTATTACCGGCATGCTTCTAACGTGGCATTTTGCAGAGAAACGGGCATCTTTGTCAGTGGCTAAGACTGCTGCACCTAAGTATTTACGGCAAGCCCTGAATCGTAGCCATAAGATATCGGATTTCACACTCGGTATACGTCGCTCACGAAGAGCCCTCTTTGCTTTCCAATAAAATGGTGAATACAGAATACAGAAAAAGTTTTTTGTTTACCTGTCACGTAGTCGGTGGTGTACTCAGCTGTGGAAAGGTGAAACGTACACACCCAAAAATATCAATGTTCATGAATATTCGATCTCCCTATGCTCAAATATGATACTAGTGTCACGACAAATATTACAACATAGAGCTGTATTTTTTCAAAGCAAGACAAACCTTGCAGTAATTACATAGTAGTCTGAAACTCCTCGAGTTCAGAGAATGCATACAAAAACGATTTTTGTTATGGCCAAAATCTTTACAGGGATACATGTGTCCCACCCTCCTCCCCTCGGATGCTGGAGAAATTTATTTAGAAGAAACCGCCCCTCAACACAATCTGTAACTGGGCTTTAGTGCAGTTTTTTGGCGTTTGTGTTTGGATGTGTGTGTGGGTGAGTTTGTTTCTGCAGGATGTTTGGGACCCTGAACAATAGAGGACAATAAGGTCCCTCATTGACAGAGGGTCCCCGGTTGATAACAGTGTACAAAACATATGGTTGGTCTTTTAAAAAGTCAGAGTACAAACAAAAGAGGAACAACAGGGGGTTCCCAGTTGCAGGCAAATACACACTTGTGTGTTTGGGGGAGGGGATTGATATTATCCTATGTAGCATGTTGTCTGACACTTGTTACTGCAATTTTATAACACTCTCCGTATCATTCTAAGAACTGCGTACCCTTTAATCCCTACGGTTATAGATGTAGGCCTTTTGCTTGACCGTAAGTGAAGAACCAAATGGGCCTGATAACCTAAAATCTTTTGAAAATCAAGAGAGAATCAAAGCTACACCCGAGGGAGGTTTGAATTTACAACCAGACCGGGCTGCTTTGCTGATACAGCACCGCACAAACTAGGGTGTGACTATTGCCCTTGAAGAGGTATTTTGTTGAAAATATACTGGTGAAAGGGTACACTTGATGAAGTTGTAATCTTCCGAGACGAGGATTTCAATTGGCACTCCAGTAATACTTACAGCTGGCGTATTCGGTGGTCCAGTAATCAGATGGCTCGTCTGTTAAAAGGACAATGCGGGCAAAGGTTAATGTCATCACTAAAAGAATTTGAACTCAATGTGATCAATGACTGTAAACATCGCTTCCCAGAAGAATTTTTGTAGCAGGGACGGGAAATCTGAATTAGATTCTTGTCTTGCTGCTTCAAAAGCAGACATTGTTTTCTGTGGCTAGGGCTGTTGATTGACTGCGGCTTGCTATTGGCAATCCGTATCCACAGCATACCTGATTTTAAACTTTACAGCTGTATATCCTCCACGCTGCCAGCAGCGTATTTGTTGTGTGTTCTTCGGTGATGCCAGTGGATGAAACAACATTACGAGTATACTCGTAGTCGACAGTCCATGTGTTATCCGTATATTTTTTTCTTTTCTTTCATTTTCACGATTCACTCGAGTACAGTTTCAGTGTAAACTCCCTCCCAAGCTTGCACAAACTGACAGAGGGCGCTCCACAAACGTATTTAAGGAAAGGCACCTTAGGATATGTTCAGTGCACGCATCTTTGGTTGGTAAGAGATTGTAATTGGCGACAAAGAACAAAATGGTTTCATACCAGTCACGTAATCGTCTTCTCCAGATCCGGGAAGGATAGATGGGTTTAAATATAAACAAAAGGTAGATAAAGAGTACGATTATGTATTTCACCTCCAATATCCAAATGATAAACGTGCCAAGCAATCAATTTCCCAATTGGCATATCACACAAAGGTGTTTTGCATTCACACTGAGAACAAAGTAAAAATGACACAAATATTTATACCCCCTTTAGGAATTTTTAAGCGACTCAAAATCTCTAAAATGGAGAGATGATATTTTGTGTCGATGCCAAATAAATCGTTGACATTTCACATACATAAATTCAAGTCAAGCAAACAAACATGGGACACACTAGGACACTAATGTGTTGTATGTTTCTGCATTATCGTTGTCACCACATTCCTAAATTGATTATTAAAACAAATTCTTTGGCATTATATTCCTTTTCCTCAATCAAAATATTTAAGCCATGCGCCACCAATCGTTCGTTTTAAAAAATCGCCAATAATAC